ATCTATCTATCTATCTATCTATCTATCTATCTATCTATCTATCTATCTATCTATCTATCTATCTATGGGACTGGAGGCTGAAACATACAATGGACGGTTGCAGGAACCGGGCCTGGCTGGTCTAGGGAGGAGAAGGACCAGGGGAGACAGGAGAGCAGTCTTCCAATATTTGAGGGGCTGCCCCAGAGAGGAGGAGGAAGGGGGTCAAGCTATTCTCCAAAGCATCTGAAGACAAGGAGGACTGTGGGGTCGTCTGAGCAAGGCTGGCTGGGGAATTCTGGGAGTTGAAGTCTTAAGGTTGGCACCCCCAAATTTCAGGGCAGACCAAAATGTCCTGTAAGATGCCAGGAGCCACCAAGGGGATTAATCCATAGTGGTGCTGGGAGAGATACCAGATCCTGATATTCCTTTAAGTCCTGTTTTTTTTTCCTTCTTTAACTTCCTTTTGTTCTTCAGTAGAAAATGAGAATTCCTGCCAGTCCAGCAGTCCAGGTGAACACTTTTCAGCCCGCATTGTTAGAATTATTTTACCCTGCATTATTAAACCTTATGAGAGGATGAAGGGAAGATTCTTCCAGAAGGGTTGAGCTGAGCCTGGAAGCCAGATCGCTGGATATGGTGGCCTGGAACAGGGGCAGCTTTGTTCCTGTGGCCTCCGCAAGGAGTCCCGGAAGCCCTAAAGGTGAGAACGTGCTCAGGAAAATATTAAGAGTGTGCAGAAGTGAACAGACTGGTGCTTGCAATTAAGGAGAAAGAGCACACCGAATATTACATGACGTGGGGTTTATTTTATCAATGGTGAAATAACAAAAAAGGAAGTTAGAAAGATTAGCGAAATGAAGAAGACACGTTAAGGGAGATAAGCAAATAGGATTAGTATATTGATGATTATTTTAATATGGTGGAATTAATACTAATGTAATGAATAATGCTATAAGTTTTGATTATTATTTTACAAAGAGATTTGTACCCAGACAACACACTGTTCGATTGAAGATGGGATTATTACATTGAAAAATAAAAATAAAAACTTTAAAAAGAAAAGAGTGCTAGAGGGGAGTGGGGGTTTGCAGGGAGGAGGAGGAGAAGGAAGGAGGGAAGAGAGGGAGGGAGGAGAGAAGGGCGGGCAGGAAGGAGGGAAGGAAAGAAGGAAAGGAAGATGATAGGAATGGGAAGAAAAGAGGGAAGGGAGGAAGGAGAGAAGGCAGGGCGGGAAGGAGGGAAGGAAAGAAGGAAAGGAAGATGGAAGGAATGGGAAGAAAAGAGGGAAGGGAGGAAGGGGAGAAGGGAGGGCAGGAAGGAAGGAAGGAAGGAAGGAAGGAGGAGAGGAACATTCACAATTTCTGGAGGCAAGTCCTTCCACTGGGTAATTGTTCTGTCAGGAAATTTCTCCTCAATTCCAGGTTGCTTCTCTCCTTGGTTAGTTTCCATCCGTTGCTTCTTGTCCTGCCTTCTTCAGGGGCTTTGGAGAACAGCTTGACCCTTCACTTCATTGTGGCAGCCCCCGAGATATTGGAAGACTGCTATCATGTCACCTCTAGTTCTCCTTTCCATAAGACGAGGCATACCCAAGTTCCAGCAACCGTTCTTTATATGTTTTAGCCTCCAGTCTCCTAATCCTCTTAGTTGCTCTTCTCTGCACTCTTTCTACAGTCCCCACATCTTTTTTTTACATCGTGGCAACTAAAACTGGATCCGTGATTCCACAGGGGGTCTTACCAAGGCCTTATAAAGTGGTATTAAAACTTCCCCTGATCTTGATTCAGTCCCTCTGTTAGGGATCCACCCTAGCAGAACCTAGCAGCCTTACATCAATAAAGAAGTTTTAAGTTATTCAGGTGTAATACAAGTAGTCCTCGATTTACAACCATTCCTTTAGTGACCATTTGAAGGTACAACAGAACTAAAAAATTTTTCACAGGGTTCCAATATTTCAAATATATTCACAGCTTCTGACTTTTTTCCCCCCTGTTGTGAGGTTTTATCCACTTCTGGCACACAACAATCCGTGGGATGTTTGAAGTACAGATCAGCATTCCTGGCTGAGATGCCTTGAGTCCTTGTGGACTTTGAAAGGGCCACTTTGTAGCAAGATGGGTGGCAAATAAATTTAATAAATTAAAAAATAAAAAGCATTTTTAAAAAATGGGATGCAGTGCTTCTGTCAGACCAGAAGATGGCGCAGGTCTCCCACCCCCGGCTCTGCAGGATGTCGGTCTATTAACACAAGTTACACAACAATTTGAAGGCCAATCCAGTGATGGGATTCAAAAATTTTTTTACTACTGTTTCTGTAGGCGTGGCAGGGTAAAATCTCCAGTCAAAGGTGGTATTTGCTGGTTCTCCGAACTACTCAAAATTTCCGCTACCGGTTCTCCAGAACTGGTCAGAACCTGCCGAATCCCACCTCTGGGCCAATCCTTGCATTCATACACGGATGAGAGGAACTGTATTATCTCCAAGGTCTTGAAATGGACACCTCACATTAGAACCTTTTAATGGGAAGGGACTGGCTTGCTTCCCACTTCACAAGTTAAGCAATAAAGGGCTCCAATGCAAGAAGCTCCTCTCCAGCCTGGGGGGGGTGGGGCACGACTACAGCCCGTGGGGCACCCAAAGCCTAAGCCAGGGATGAAGAGAAGTGACCCCGGACCCCCACGGAAAACGAGCCCTGGGCAGCCCGAAAAGCCGGCTTGCAGCCGCCTCCTGTGCCAAAGAACCGGCAGGAATTGCGGCCGCTATGCTAGCCAAGGTCCAGTATCTGAGGGGCTGCCCCAAAGATAAGGAGCAACGGATGGAGACCCATCAAGGAGAGGAGCAACCTGGAGCTAAGGAGAAAGTGAAAACAACTCGCCAGTGGAACTGCTGGCAACCAGAAGTTGTGGGGACTGAGATGAGGGGACTGGAGGATAAAACATATGATGGACGGTTGCAGGAACTGGGCCTGGCTGGTCTAGGGAAGAGAAGGACCAGGAGAGACAGGAGAGCATCTTCCAATATTTGGGGGGCTGCCCCAGGGAGGAGGAAGCGGGGTCAAGCTATTTCCTAAAGCCCCCGAAGGCCAGACAAGGAACAATGGATGGAAACTGAACAAGGAGAGATTCAACCTGGAAATAAGGAGGAATTTTATGACAGGGAGAACCATCAACCCACAGAACAGAGGTTGCCATCGGAACTTCTTGTGGGAGCTTCATCCCTGGAGGCTCTCAAGAAGAGACCGGACTGCCACTAGTCAGACACGTGTAGGGTCTCCTGCATGGGCGGTAGGTCGGTGGGGGGGGGTGTTGGACTAGAGCAGGGATATGCAACCTTGGCGGCTTTAAGACTTGTGGACCTCAACTCCCAGCATTCCTCAGCCAGCTTTGGCTGAGGAATTCTGGGAGTTGAGGTCCACAAGTCTTAAAGCCGCCAAGGTTGGAAACCCCCGGACTAGATGACCTAACAAGGTCCCTTCCAACCGGGTTATCCTCCCTCCCTCGGCCAGGAGGCGGGGCGAGAGGCTGGCAGCGGTGCCGGTGCCCGTGGCTTTCCCACGCGCGGGCGGAGCGGGCGGGGTGACGGGAGGGGCGGTCCCGGTATAAGGGAAGCGCTGCGAGCTGCGGGGCCAGACCGGGGATCGGGCCATGGAGGCGGCGGCGGCGGGGGCGCTGGGGGCGGGCGCGGCGCTGCTGCTGGGGGTCTACTACACACTCGGGGAGGCCACCCGGTGCCGGAACACGGTCAGCCTGCGGGGCAAGACGGTGCTCATCACAGGTGGGCTGGGG